GTCTTTGAGTGGGTTTTCAAAGTCAGTAAACTGCACAAAAGGAGCCTGTCTATCTTTCCCCATGGAACAGCTGATGGACTCAAATAGTATCCCTTGGGACTGACAGCATAACTCCTTCCCAGGAGGCCACCAGAGCTTTCTCAAAAGTACTTCAAGGAATATATACATATACATATTTACCAAAGAACATAAACTCCTTGAAAATGAAGTTTTATATCAACTCTTAAAAATCATTAAATTATATGATAATATTATAATCATTAAATTATTATAATATTATAAAAATTATGAGGTGAGGCAGGATGCTGTGAATATAAAAACCAGAGTTTAAGTATTTAGTAAGTGAATGAGGTCAGTACAAAGTCATAGCTCTCAAAGCCAAGCATTCAAATATTTAAAGGTAAGTTCACTCTTAAGACTTTTAAGTCAGTCTTTGGGTGGTTGAAACAGTAATGTGCTACAAGTCTGCTAAGAGAACAGGTTCAATTCCATGCAAAGTTATCTGTAAAGAAGCCTTGGTGATTTCTGAAATATCATCGAAAACAATTCTATTTTTATATTAGGGCCGCATCATGAGTTAAACTTATTAGACATCAAGTGATTTTTTTTATTTACCTTGAGACTTAAGTAGACTAAGAGTAAAAATTCCATTAAAAAATCCTTTCTAGAAAAGTATTAAATGAATCAATAATTGATAGAACACTAAATTCAAGACAGTTTGTCCTCTTCCAATCCTTATCTACATTTTCTTCACTGCAAGGGGGCTTCATTCTCACATCTTTATAGGGAATGTGATCCAGGGTTTTAAAGAAATGTAATCTTGGGCTGCAAATTTTTTTTTGGGGGGGGTGGCAAAAGAAATCTTATTGCTAGAATAAAGAGTGTGCAATATGATTTCTATAACTGAAGGTTTGTCTATTTTAGAAAACTAATGAGGAAGAGAACAAATTTTGACTGGTTCTGGGACAGACATATTGAATTAAGTGTACCAATCAATACTGTGTAAGAGCAAATAAATGCTTTATTACATAATAGGAATGTTAAGAATTATAAAAATATTGTGATGAGATTATCTAAACTGTAATTTTAAATGAATAAAAATTCAAGCCCAATTTCTCCCCCCAACTTAAAATTATAGTATCTTGGAGACTTAAAATGACAAAAACAAAACTCTAAAAAGAAAAATATATCTCTTACCTACATTCCGTTCTGATAACTTATTCCAGGAATTGTCTGAACTATTTCTAGCAACTCAGGTATATTAAAACAATAGCCACTAAATGTATATGGTCAAATTATGGGTTAAAATACATCAAACTGGAAAAACAACTTTCTTACTGAAAGTTTACAGAAGTTATAGATAAACAGATCTGGCTCAGTGCATAAAACTCTATTTAGCTGATAATATTAGATTCTTCTATGTTCAATTTTTAAGCAATTATTCTTCAAATATCAAGAAATCATTACAATAAATTCTGTACACAGTAAGATAAGCATGGGATATAATTCTAAATAAGTTCTTTCTCCATTAACTTTCTAAATATTTACTACTGTTCTCTGAATTACTTAAAAATATTAATTTAAAAGAAAAAAGAATTGGGATATCTAAAAAATATTAGACTAATTAAGTCAGGCCATCTCAGATTAATTGATAGGAGTCACGGACAACTCTCAAGCACAAAATCCTCTGCAGAAAACTACAGGGGTGTGTGTATTGCTGAGAGTTAAAATCTATGACAAGAGGATTTTATAAGCACCTGGAATGTTCATAATTCATTATCAAACTGTTTTCTACATAAATGTGATGACAATTTTAAATTTTTATAATGCCTATAGCAAGCTCTGAAGAGTAAACTGGAAACTCTTAGGTAACAAAACTCAAATATGTTTAAAGCAACAATATAGCAGTCTTAACAATAAATAAGAAATCTTTCTGAACAAAACTGAACTACAACCTATAAATCAGCATTTTACAAAGTAACATTTTGTTTTTCCTTCTTCCAGTTCAGAATTTATTACTACCTGCTTTCACTTTTCCCTCTCCTCCCCCCCTTCCAAAGAAAGTTAACTATGGCCAGGAAACCTAGGAGGAGGAAGTAGAATCCCCTTTGCTGCACAAGGAAGGAAAAAAACATAACAATATTATGTTGAGTCAGTGACCTAATTAGTATGTATCAATTATATCATCTGTAAAATAATGGGTTTTCATCCCCTCCCCCTCATTTCATTTTTCCCCTCAAATACTGAAAACTGTAATCTATGATGGCTGGGCCATTATTCTCCTGTCTGTCGCCACATGTCATTTAAAACTGACAGGTCAACTAAATATATGCCCTGATAGTCAGTGCTTAGAAATCACTGAGACAAGACTTAAACCAATGACCTAAAAGATAAATGTAATCTGCATTAATCATGAGTTATCTGGTCTACTAATCATTACCTTAACAATATGTCTATCTCTATGTTAATATTATGACATAATGTCAAGGAAAGAAACTGAAGGTATGAATGAGATTTCTGTGGTAAAAGCCATCTAAACACAGTAAAGCATAAACTTGCAGAAAAATTTTAACACCAAGTATGTGTACTCAAAAAAAATTGTGTACTTATCACGTAATTCATTTACAAAGAGATTTCTAGCTGTTTCTTATATAAGTATAATTAGCACTCAAATTAGGAAGAAATTACCTTATGTAATTTAAAAATGTGAGAAAACACAACTGAGAAATACTCTTTTGTTCAAGTTTCCCCAAAATTTCATTTGACTAACACAAACATTGAGATATCCAACTGGCACAGGAGGAAATTACCCTTCCTTCTCCAGTGGAGCATCTGTTGGATTCAAACTGCTTATCTTTGGGATTGCAGCAAAGCTTCTTGCCACTAGGCCACCAGAGCTCCCTATAATTTTCAAAATCTGTCATGTTTAAGATGGCATGAAATGTGATGAATTATTTGGACAAGTAGCTATCAAAAATAGCTAAATTAGATGAACACTGACTTTTCCCCTTTACTAAGAATATTGGGTATATTCTGCAAATTTATTAAGTGTTTTTTAAAAACTAGAATGAACCATCTTGAATTGCTGAAGTAAATTTTTAATCACAAGGGTACAGGAGCGGTCTACCATTTACATACTGGAAAACATATTTTTTTTTTAAAAAAAAATCCAAATAGGAAAATAAAAATACATCTAAGAAAGTTTTGTTATAAGCCATCTATTACCTCTAAATGCATAAACAAAGCCAAAATTATGGATAGGGGAGTCCTAAATCAAGTGCTTTTAAACTTCAGTATTCGTTTACATGATCTGGGAAACACAACTAGTTAAAAGGCTAAGTAAATGAATTACTGACCTCTGAAAGATAAAGTATTCTTCTAGGCAAAAGATCAACTTCTATATACTAGCAAAACCAGCTACTGTTTAGACTCTGTAAAAGCATGGAGATCTAATGTGTATTCAAGAACTGTGCTCTACAGGTTTTTAATGGTTGACTTTTCAGAAGTAGAAAGACCTTCTTTTAAGACCCCTTAGGACAGATTCAACTGCCAGTCTGGTTAGCAGCTAAGTAGATTTCAACCAACTGGACTACCTAGAGCCTTCATATATAATAGTAAAGCAGTCTGAATAGCTAGTCTAATAACACAGATAATCAATCTCATACAATGCACCAAGTCACATAAGATTTTAGCTCTTTTATCAATACTTAAAAACCAAGACACACAAAGAGAAAAAAACCCCACCAAACCCAAAAGACACAACAGAATCAGAACGTAAACATTAAAAATCCTATAAAATGTTAGTACATTCTTTCAGTCACTAGCATTTTAATAAATTTGTTGTAGCGTTTCAGGACACTGTTATCTAAAATAAAACTCAAGAGACAAAACTCTAATACTGCTACGATTAATATGAAGTTTGCTCTGATTTTTAATTATAAATATCATGGACAAAGTAAGTCACTGTATTAAGAAATACAAGAAGATAATGTGAATGAGAAAAGCACAGCTATAAATATTTCCCTATAGAATAAGAACATTTACACTAAAGGAACTTTAGCTTATTTTAGGAGACCAAACAGAAGAGGCACAAACCTTTTTAATTCTCTGTATGTTATAACTACACAACCAACCACTGGCTCATTACTCAAGGTCTATTGTTTCCATAGAAAAAGAGGTTCTACACTTTAGGAGGGGGGGTAGGGTGGCCAAAACAGTTACTAGAATGAAATAAAATATATTGACTTATTACAACAACAACAA